TCAAAGCTGACATGGATGAAGTTTTGGGAGAGTCTGCTCCTTCATAAACCACTGTGAAAAAATGGACAGCCCTTTTTAAATCTGGCAGAGAGAGTGTGAAACATGACCCTCGCAGCGGACGGCCGTCAACTGCTGTCACTGAAAAAAATATCAACAAAGTTTACGATTTGGTGTTAGCAGATTGCCGTTTGAAAATGCGTGAGATAGCTTAGACAACAGGCATCTCTGTCGACCGAGTGCACCACATCCTAACCGAAGATTTGGGTATGACGAAGGTCTCAGCAAGGTGGGTGCCGCATCTGCTGACCGCCGAGCAAAAACGTGTTTGCACTTTGATGTCAAAGGAGTGTTTGGACTTCTACCAGAAAAACTCACAGGATTTCTTGCGTCGGTTTGTGACTACGGACGAAACGTGGATCCATTACTACATTCCTGAAACAAAAGAACAGTCGAAGCAATGGAAACCCCACAGTTCGCCACCACCAAAGAAGGCAAAGACAGTTCTATCAGTGGGTAAAGTGATGGCCTCGGTTTTTTTGGGATGCTAAAGGCATCATCTTTATTGACTACCTAGAAAGAGGAAAGACCATTAATGCTGTCTATTACTGTGAACTTTTGGAAAAACTGAAGAAAGAAATCGAAGAGGCCACAGTTGAAGAAGAAGTTTCTGTTTCACCACGATAATGCCAGAATCACTGAACAAAAAATAAACGAACTTAGCTTCCAATTAGTTCCACATTCACCGTACTCACCTGATTTGGCCCCCAGTGACTTCCACCTTTTTCCAAATTTAAAATAATTCTTGGTTGGAAAGAGATTCCACTCAAATGACAAAGTCATCTCTGAAGTAAACGAATATTTTGCACACCTTGACAAATCGACCTATTGTAATGGCATAAAAAAGCTAGAACATCACTGGAATAAGTGCATTGCTAACAAAGGAGACTACATTGAAAAATAAAAAAAGTTTTAACATTATTTTGTTTGTTGTTCTATTTGAGGCCGCGAACTTTCCGAACAGCCCTCGTATAATCTATTTCCACATAANATGCAAGGCCAATACTGCAAAACAATGGAGGACATCAAGAAAGCAGTGTGTCAGCTTTTTCACTGTACGAGTTTTATTGTAAGGAAATTTTCAAGCTCCCACAGCGGTGAGGAAAATGGAGACTATGTGGAAAAATAAAAAAAGTTTTAACATTATTTTGTTTGTTGTTCTATTTGAGGCCGCGAACTTTCCGAACAGCCCTCGTATAATCTATTTCCACATAATTATAATCATCATGAAGTTTGTATTATCAATATTTTATCACAAAAATCATTAATATTGATGTTGGATGAAACTTAAGAAGGAAACCTTCTGTATACTCCCTCCTGAGGAATTCTAAATATCGTATCGAGAACCTTCTCCCAGGCATTTACTCCATTCTGGTCATCCACTCTATCCTTGGACAGCAAACAGAATGTATCAGTGCAACAACACACCTATTCAAACAATGTTTAAAAGAATATGTAACTTCAATTAAAAAGGGGCATTACATGACTGCATTAGCCAATCTGGCCACAGAACACCAAATTCAAGCATAAACAGACAAAATCCAACTACTACACACAACTAGAACACAATCATCTCTCATAAACCTGGAAAAGCTAGGAATATATAGAGAGTGTAAGAAAAATATAGCCATAAATTTCAAAGATAGCAACACCCTCCCTCTAGCATGGAGATCTCTTTTGAAGTCCAGAAATAAATACTACATGTAACATCATTAACAAATCAGATGACAACTCTTGCTTTAAATTACAATATTCAATTCACCTGTGTTCTTTTCAAACATATTTAACCTGATGATGATAGCTAAAGTTATCAAAAACATTTGTTTATCATTAAATATTTTTCATTTTTGATGGGAGTTTTTGGTACAGTAGAACCTCGATTATCCGGACTAATTGGGGATGAAGNTGATGTTGGATGAAACTTAAGAAGGAAACCTTCTGTATACTCCCTCCTGAGGAATTCTAAATATCGTATCGAGAACCTTCTCCCAGGCATTTACTCCATTCTGGTCATCCACTCTATCCTTGGACAGCAAACAGAATGTATCAGTGCAACAACACACCTATTCAAACAATGTTTAAAAGAATATGTAACTTCAATTAAAAAGGGGCATTACATGACTGCATTAGCCAATCTGGCCACAGAACACCAAATTCAAGCATAAACAGACAAAATCCAACTACTACACACAACTAGAACACAATCATCTCTCATAAACCTGGAAAAGCTAGGAATATATAGAGAGTGTAAGAAAAATATAGCCATAAATTTCAAAGATAGCAACACCCTCCCTCTAGCATGGAGATCTCTTTTGAAGTCCAGAAATAAATACTACATGTAACATCATTAACAAATCAGATGACAACTCTTGCTTTAAATTACAATATTCAATTCACCTGTGTTCTTTTCAAACATATTTAACCTGATGATGATAGCTAAAGTTATCAAAAACATTTGTTTATCATTAAATATTTTTCATTTTTGATGGGAGTTTTTGGTATTTTCATTTCTTTATTATTATTATTATTATTATTATTATCCAGTTTCTGCATTGTTTAAATATAGTCCTAAGTTTCTTTTTGGTTTGGAAAAAGCCTGTAAAGTCAGGGTTCCTACTCAAATTTTTGTTTTAAATTCCCTGACCCTCATGTTCCTTACAGTATGGCACATTAACAAAATAAAACATTACTCAACTTACTATGCACATACATTAGTGATTCTCCAACTTTTTAACTGGTTATTTTTTCTAATTAACAGTTATATATTTTTTATGATCAATGAATTAGTAAAACCAAAAATAAAATTAGAAAGACAGAATTATGGCATGTCTTCTCTACAAAAAACTAAAATGTTTTATTAAATAATAATTTATCTGTCAGCAAACAAAATCAACAAGGCAACAAAGGAAACAAATTCCCTGACTTTTTGACAATTTTTATCAAATTCCCTGACTTTCCATGACTTTTTGAGAACACTAATGTAAATCCCTGACTTTCCAGGTGCATAGGAACCCTGTAAAGTATAAAAGTTTTTTGTTTGTGTGTTTGAATAAAACTGTAATTTATCTATTAATTTGAGTGTAAAAGTGCACTTTGAAACCTATTTACATTACAGAATTCTCACTCAGAAATTCTGTAGAGAGAAGAGAGACTGATTGTAAAATTTTACTGATAGGATCAGATAAAATTATGACTATTATTGTTTGTCAATCTAATAGAGTCAGCCATAATACGAGTAAATATGTCAAGAACAATAGATTAACAAATCAAAGTAAGATTCTGAAATTTGAATTCTATGAAAGAAAATAATTTATGTTTTAGTAAATTACAAATAAAATTCACAACAACAATGCAAAAAATACAAAAATGATAAGACAATATTTTCAAATTAGATTTTTGAAATTATTATTATTTTTGTATTTAACAATTTTGAATACGTGGTAATTGATTTTTGTATAGATTTTTAATATTTTCTCTAATAAACTGATTTTAATGAACTTATTTTGATAGTTAATTTTAAGTATATTTAAATATCAATAAGAAATATATAAGAAATTTATTAAGTTAAAATATAAATAATTTAAGTAATAATGTTATTTGAGAGTCAAACAAAACAAGAGAAACCCTGATGATATGATTTCATTAGAAGCCAGGATATGTCAAAATGTCAACTTTCTGACCTGATCTCCGTGTCAACTGATGCATTCTCAGAGTTGATAATGATACCTTTCCCTTGACTATTAGTTATCTCTGAGGAATTTGCACCTTTGAATACAACTAGGAATGGTCAATTTTAGTCAGTCATTGCCCATTCTTCAACTCATAAAGATTAGCATTTGTGCACCTTTCTACCCAGTTAGATTTGTGCTTGTGTGTGCGCTTCATCTGCATTTTAGTTCAGGTTCTGTTCAACATGGATCATCTAAATTTGAAGCTCTTTCTAATCGAGAACTATTATTTTCAACATCAAGAACTATTCCTTGTGCTTCCCAACATAGGAAATATTGTTTGAATATAAAGTTATTGTAAACTCTAAACTCTCTCTCTGCAATAGTAAAAGACGTAATGCAAATCCTATGTCTTACTTAAATGTATACTATACGGGACTTTCATGCCTGTATGAACTTTCATACCATCTAGTAAATATTTTAAATGTAGTTAACTATGCTAAGTGACTCCAACTGAATCTTGTCATTTCCTTCTCTCCTCTTACCACTAGTGTCTTGTATACAAGACCACATTACTTCCATCCACAAAATGCTCAAAAACTCAAATGATAGGTGTATCCTATTTGGTGTCAGAAATTTCGAAGTGTAATTAGTCACTCAACAACAAGTATTAAAGAGCATAAACCTCACAGTTATATAAAGTTCATCATAATTTAGATTTTTATCTAAATATTTTCATTTCTCATGCTACACTGTTTACAAGTGAGAAAATATATAAAAATTTAATTTTTTACAAAAACAGTAAAATGAATTTCTATTACTTTTGATAGATAAAAACCACACTCTTATGTAAGTTAGAAATGATAATTGTTAAAAAATCAAATATCTTATTGTTAACACTGTAACTTTAAAGTGTAAAAGTATTTTCTTTTGATTTGAATAAAAGTTTGTGGTTTTTATCTATCAAAATTAATAGAATAATGCAATTTAATAAATTCATGTAAAGCTTTACCTGAAGTTGCTTTTAGGTAAAGTTAGTTTTTTAATACATTAAAAAACAGTAATATTTAGTATGTTACAAAAAAGATGATCACATGACAATGTATAAGAGACTATCACAAATATGTAATCAATAACAACATTTTATATTAAATTATCTGTATCATAAATAAAAGACTAAAACATAGTGTCAACAAATAGTTATACATAAAAATTAAAATTTTTTAAGGAAAATCATTTCATTTTACATATAAATATAGATTATTTTAAAATTACCTGAATTAGAGGTATCATCCATGTTAATACTCCTAATAAATTAGGCCATGATTGTGGTCCTACCACTAAAAGTTGTGATCTCTTTATATTATTTATAAATGGATAATTGATCAATTTTAAAATATATATTATTTCTTCAGGTTTTTCAGTTGTGGTATAACTTGGATCCAGCCAACAATACATAAACTAAAAACATTTTTAAAAATAATTTTCACAAATATTAAAAAATAGTAAAATTTTAAATTAATTTTTTTTTATATGTATGTTTACCTGTTTATATATACACACATACATACATATATATATATATATATATATATATATTATATATACAT